ATATAAAATCCTGCTTTTTAACAGCTAGTAGGTTTATGTAAGATCTTTTAAATGCAAAAGGTCTTATGCATGCAAGGAATGTTTTGTGACCATACAGTCACAAATTTTAAATTGTCAAACTTAAGTGACTTTGTCATTAAGCCGTTGGAGTGTGTTGAAAAAGTTTCCTCTTTTACTGTGAGGCGTAAAAAGAATTTCCCCATGAGGGACAATAAAGGTAAAATTATTAATTATTATTATTATGATGTCTCTGTTTCTGTTGTATTTGCATTTACTTATCTAGAGGGACCTGTTTTTTTCTGGGGCACCCGTGTAATAGTGACATAGAGGTAGACAGCGATGTGAGACTTCGTGGTTTGGAATGCAGGGGTCATCTTGCTCCGGTTGCCATGGTGATTGTCATTGATGCTGTGCTAATGGACTGAACCTCGCGGGCCCCGGCAGGTACCCGGGACATGGGATGAACGTGACAAAGGCGCTGGAGGGATGCTCCTCTGACAGTCCCATCGTGCTCCTTGCACACCAGCCTCGGGCGGCCCGCTGGGCTCTGCAGGAGAGACCTGACATCGGCCTGGTGCTTTCAGGTAACACTCAGAGCACATCAGCTACGTCCCTGTCCAGGGTCTGCGTGACCCGGGGCTCCGGGGCACCATCAGCCTGCTGCATTCCAGGAAAGGTTAGCGGCTTGTTGGGTTAACTGGGTAGGATTAACTTGATGATGTCAGGTGTGTCACTTAACAGCTGTACGCTAATACCTAATTCTTATCATGTCAAAAATGCTTGTGTTATGACACAGAACAAGTAGGCTAATCCATCTAACTACAGGCCAGTATCATAACGTAAAAAATATACTTCTAAAAAAAATCTGTGACGTGACATGGTAAATTTATACTAAATATTTATATTTTACTTTAAATATAAAGCGGATATTAAGGTGTTTTGCTGGGAAGTACTGTACTATGCTTTTCTTTGTTAAAGTGAAAGTAAGTGATTAGAAGCCTGATGCATTTTTTCGAGATAGATGCAGGCCTTTGGTAAAATTGGACTGAAATTGAAGTTGTACTTAGAATTTCGCTGTTATTTGGTGCAGAAGTTACTTTTATGATGAGAAAAGACAAATACATAGTATTATATTGATTATAGTGCAACATTATTATAATAATTAAGTTTTTACACTGAAATGGCGTTCTGTATAGAGTAGGTGTGACTTTTTCTTTAATATCCTATGTTTACTTCGAGACATTAGGACGGCTGACAGATTTAGTCCTGCGTCTGTCTGCACAAACACCCTTCATCCTTCACCACTATACTTTCGCTCCTACTGCTGCGTGCCGCGGCCTGGATGAACTCCCATGCCGCCGTGCAGAGACTTATGGGTAAAGGAGATCCCCTGCGGACCGAGCCGAGGAAGAGGAACATCACTAGAGAGAACCGATAGGAATAGTCGTTCTGCACACCCCCCTCCCCCTCAGCGTTTGGAGACCTTGTGGGTCAACAGCAGAATTGCCTGACTTTGCTTTCATGTTCTAATCTGGGCCTAGACCGGGGTAATTTGAGGTTGTTCGGCCCCGCCCACCCATCTGGCCCCGCCCACTCACTTGGCCCCACCCTTTTGTCTGGGCCCACAAGCTGAGGCGGTGCGCCTGACACAGTGACTCATTGCACCGAGATGTGACCACGCTGACTGTGAGGAGGACTTGTATATATTTGTATGTTTCGTCATCCACACGGTGCTGAGAGGAAGCCGGGGGGGTACAAGGTCCCTGTTGTCTCAGCTGAAGAAGCGGCGGGTTTGTTGCTGACGCTGTGTGTGCATGTCTTTGGGAGGTGTTATTTTTACGTGGCCAAAAGGGGCCTTCCCCTTTAAATTCCTACCTTCTTTCTCATGACCAAACATTTTACAGACCTTCCCTTTAAGTCTACTGGAGGATGTAAGTAGAGACAGTAAATGCGGCGAATAAAGAATCATCTTACAGTTCCAAAAATTGTTTTATTAAGTTGTTTTTTTTAAAGTAGTAAAAATATTGAACGTTCGAATAAAGGAGCCCTACTCACTGTGTTCCTCTAACCCAGGGGTGTCAAACTCCAGTCCTGGGGGGCCGGAGCCCTATACACTGTGTTACTCTAACCTATCATGGACGTTTATGTTTGGTAAACATATATTTACAACTATGACACAGGCGTAAGCAATCCTGATCTTATAGTGCCCATATCCAGCTGGTTTTCTGTCCTACATGTTGAATACTTACCTGCCTGAGATCAGGTGTGGTTCATCAGAGACCCGGTAGGCTATAACACATAAGCAGAGGTGGAAAGTTCAGGTCCAGAAAGTACAAATCCAGACCAAGATTTTGTTTTAACCAACCAGTTGAACATAAAGAATCGCAGTCAGAGACTGCTCAGCTGGCTGGCTGAAACAAAATCTTGGTCAGGATTTATACTTTCTGGACTTGAACTTTCCACCTCTGCACATAAGTACCAGGTGGTCCATAGTGTATAAGCATTGAAAATGGAGACCATGTTACCATGGTAAAGGCATTGTTTTACGTAAAAATGACCAGAATGTATTGGAAACGGTTGGGGCAGTCAGAGGTCAGAGGTTGCACTCATGATGTTGCCCCTTCTAGAACCTTGTCTATCCCAGCATTCCTCAGGGTTCTGTCACACCCTGGTTTGGGGCTTAGAGCTAATGAGGCAGCGCATTCGTCTGTCTGCCAGCGGGCTGCAGAAAATCTCCCTAAATATGCAGCGGCTAAGTGAGAATTCTGAGTTTTCTTACTGCATCGCAAGGTTATTGTTCCCTCAGCTTCTCGACTTGCCATTTGCGCAGTGGGCATGATTATGATTCAGACAAAGGCCCAGCGATGTCCTGGAAACCAGATCCAGTTCCTTACTGTGTTAAAACGAAAATGGAAAGTGTTGTAAAAAATTTAAAATGTGATCTAAGAATGTGTGCTGTGAGATAATCCCATATCTGGGCGGGTTTAGTGGAGTAAGAAGAATGAGACACACAGGCAATGCGGATTTGCTGGTTTGCTGCCGTAATGCAGTATTTTACAGTATAGAACCTAATGATGCCAGTATTTACTGCTTGTTTATAATTCAAACAGATTCATTATTGTTTAGCTGCCTTTTTTTTTTTTTAACGTAAATAAAGTCGTTTACAAGGCCGTAGTTCTGGATGGCAGCCGGTGACCTCTGAGTGACACTGTGTCCTTTTCTCCTCCTCAGGTCACACCCATGCAGGTCAGCTCTTCCCCCTCTCTATTATGGCATACCTGTTGAACCCTTACTTCTGTGGTCTGTACCGCGTAGGCGACAGCAGCATGGTGTACGTCTCCCCTGGGACGGCACACTATGGTATTCCCATGAGGATCGGAAGTAGGGCGGAGATCACCGAGATCCTTCTGAGGGCACCGTGAAAAGCTCCCCCCCCCCCCATTGCAAACACACACTTGCACTCATCACACTATACCAGGGGAGGCCAATCTTACCCGCAAAGGGCCGGTGTGTGTGCAGGTTTTTGGGATAACCTGTAGGTCAGCTGTTCAAACCCAGGAGGACTCTTCAGCCAATCAGTCCTCTAATTAGTAATCTAATTAGGGAGTTACAGCGAAAACCCGCATACACACCGGCCCTTTGTGGATAAGATTGGACACCCTGCACTATACTGTGCAGCCTTTAGAAACACGCACCCTGGTACAAAACCACTTATTTACACTCTATGGTACCACTGAAGCAATGGGTCAGAAGCTTGGACTTTATATCCTCATATGAAACATTTCCTAGGACTGCCTGTTTCAAGGTTTGAGACTGACTCAGGAGCCAAACAGCATTCCCTACGGCTGTCTGATGTTCCCCGTCTGTATCTGTAGCTGTATGATAATTTTATGAGCTAAAATCTTTCTTTTATCTTGGCTCCGACGAGCCCAATGAAAAGGCCGCAAAGAGCTGCGTCAATCTTCTCTGTCTGTATTGCTCTTTTCCTCGTCACTGTGATTCAGATAGTTATCTATTACTTCGTGACCTGTCCGTTCAGCTTGGCGGGCTCCCTGCTTTTATTTTTATAGATATTTAACTTGAATATTTAAAATATTTTATAATCTGCTTTGGGGCCCGATATTTCACTTGAATATTTAAAATCCTTTTGAATTTGCTTTTGGGCTCTCCGCATTGTTGGTATAAATAAGCATTTCACTTGAATCTTTGATATCATTTCAAATTTGCCTCATGCCAGTTTGGAGTTGTACTGTCTGAGTTGCAGCACGTGACGTCATTCGCAGGTAATGATGTAGAGGAAGAACAAGGAAAGGAAAGAACAGGAGGATGAGTGCGACACACTCAGTCGTGCCCAGAGGAGAGGCATGGACTACACCTGGTGCTCAGATGGAACGAGGAGGTGAAATTTTGTGTCTGAACCTCTGAAATGTGAATATTTGTATCTGCAGATAGTTGGTTTACATGACAATTTCTCATAGGTGTGTCTTGGGTGAAATCACCCCCCTTTTTTCATTCTGTTCCTTGTGAGTCCGTCTGGCCAAGAGATTCTACAATGAAGATTTTTGTCCTTCCTGCTCTCTGTCTGTAATTTCCGGTCCTGGGATGTACCTTCTCACACACATTTCGGAGGAAGCTGGGTATTTACTGAATACTCTCAAACTTTTACTAATACTGGTTAAGAGCCCGGATGTGTGTTTTGATATTTTGCAGACCATTTTAAAACAGTAGGGTTAGCAACAAGTGCTTCCATTCTTAAATGAAGGATTGTACTCCTAGGCAGGTTCTTGCGATGTGTCCCTTGAATAAAGTTGTAATTTTTATTGCCGTTTCTGTGTGTTTATGATATCGTTTACCGTCACTGTACTGCCATCCGTAAGTGAAGCGTCAGACAGCTGAACAGGTCTGAGATGTCAAGTCAAAAAGTAAAAGTAAACGCGGAAGAGGTTTGATTTTTCTGTGCTTACACGACCGGGCAACACAAAAGTAACACCTACCCCACCTCCCCAGACACTCAAACATCACACATAAGACACATGTGCCCACAGGAAGACTTGTGTATTTAACATGAATCATAAAAGGATGAACGGTGAATCGAGTGTGATGTGTGGCGTTTACTGGAAGACTAGGGGCATGTCAGTCCACAGCCTATCTGAGTGACAAAGACCTCAGTGTCTGTCCCAGGATCAGAAAGAGCTTTGGCAAACATCCGTCACAGTTGCTGGTAAATAGTTCACTCTGTGAAGCAAAATATCCATGCAGCCAGAGCTGGTTAGTCTTGCTCCAGAAGATACTTAATATGGACTGGATGGAGTTTTGCCGCGGAAACCAGTTGATGACAGTGGTTAGTGAGGTTGTGTGTGTGTGTGTATGTGTGTGAGTGAGTGAGAGAGAGATGAGTAAGGGTGGGTGGGACACTCAGGAGGGGTATAAGTACCAGGTCCTGACAGAGGTAGATAAGGAACTCAAACCAAGAGAGTATCATAGCCAAGAGAGAGCAGTAACAGAACTTTTCCAAGACAAGATTCTCACCATCAAAGGCATCACTTAGACCGAGAACGAGATCCATAGAACAGTAAGAACACTGAGGAAGGAGGGCTCAGCACAGCAAGTAGAGAAAAACTACATCGGTGCATTGAGGAGTCAGCGCATTCGCGACTGGAGAAGCAGGGAGGAGTTTGAGCACCTTCAGTGAAGTGCAGTTATCTAAAATCACAGCTCGCAAGAATCTGAGAGATGGCCAGCCATGAGGGTAAGTGACCAGTGGGGCTCCAGACCTCCAGCACCTTGGAGGTGATACATAGAATAGTACAATAATCATGTGCAGTTAAGTGTCGTGTTCACCGAGTTTTTGCTTTGCTTTTGCACTCAGGAATGATAGTAATAATATTTCACTGGCTGAATGTGCTTTTCCAGAGTCTCAGCTCCAATTTCCACAAATTGTAACATTAAGTAACTGAGATTCCAAGAGGACTGATGAAGTCTTCATATATACTCAGGCAAACATCTGCACAGCTCTTCTCCTCAGACCATCAGATTTCTGCACATGCCTGATGGCCAAAACCTCAAGAGGAGCTCTTCTCCTCAGACCATCAGACTTCTGCACATGCCTGATGCCTTTTTATAACTGACTGTTAATTATTTATGCCTTTTTATGCATCGTATCTCACCTTCTCACATCATCGTTTACTTTCTTCATGTTTGTATAAACTGCTACTTGCCCACTGCCAACCATGTCTTCTGAATAGTGTTTCTATACATAGCCTTTCATTTATCTTTTATTTAGGCTTTCTTTTTAGACTACTACTTCCCATTTTAACATAATTTAATTTAACCTCTGTGTATCTATACTTGTGGCACCTAGCATTTTTGGCACAAATATTGGCAGTAATGTTTATAAACAATCAAAGGTTTTACAAATATCACTGGACAATTAAATAAGTAACTGGAGCAACTGGAATAAAGTTCTGCAACCTCTACAAATTGGATGTGTTTCCACAGTCTTGGCCACCAGTGTATAATATTTTTTTTGCACTGTTGCTGGAGCGAGCCAGACTTTCATTTCATTACAAGTCGTACTGGTATAACTGTGCATGTGACAAGTAAAATCTTGAATCTTGGATTTGGGTTCTAAAAAATAGCTTTTAAATTTCCGGATAAAAATAATTGGTTCAGTGAGATAACCAATTAGATTGTAGAGGAGGCGGGTCCAAGCAACTAGGTAAGGTGGTACAAACCAATAAGGTGTCTTGGTCCCGCCTCCTCTCCAGTCTGTTTGGTTATCTCGCTTATCTATCATTTTTGCTCTGCTCCCAGAACATTTTTGCGTAAGTAAAACTCCCACGAGTGGAGAAAAAGCCTCTGAAGATGTGTCCCCCATCTGGATGCACCATTTAACATCCCATGAGATTAATATCCATGTCTCGTACTTCAACATGCAGTGGGCTTTCCACAAGTTAGTAGCTGTAGAAGAACTAATAATTATGTGTTACATATCAACTAATTTGCAAATTCTTTTCCCATCGTAGTTTTGCGAATTGATTCTTTTTCGACTGGCCAAGAAATTCATCTCAGGCTAACATAAAAAAAAAATTGCGACAATTCAGGGTTATTTCGAAATTTCTATTAATAGTTATTCAGTCCTTATGGACAAAAATGCAGTGGGCCAATGAAGAGGCCACTGAAGATTATTGTCCAGGTTACGGTGAGTTTGACCCCTTCCTGACGGGCCACGTTCCCCCACAGTCCCCGCAGTTCTTCGTGCCGTCGACCTGCAGTGCCCGACCAACAACCGCGCCCACCGCACCGACGAGATGGACACGGAGCAGCTGCTCCTGCGTAGGGGGCAGCCCTTCGCCATGGTGCTGCGGTGCAGCAGAGCATCACCGCTGCCGCCAAAGCAGAGCATCAACCTCATCCTGCACCTTGGTGAGCAGGGCGGCCGACCTCAGCAAGCTTCCAGTGCCGCAGCATCGCAGCGAGCACCTTCTGCTTAAATATTAGGCTCACTCAGGATCTTTTAGCCGTATCATTATCCAATAATATGCTTTGAACTGGTGAGTGACAGGGGCGTGTCTCTTCTGCGGGCCAATCAGCTTTTAGCTGAAGCCTGTAACCCCACCCCCTTTAAAGATCCCTGTGTTCAGTTTATTTTATATAGCGCTCTTGCTATCGTAGGTGCCTCAGAGCACTTGTTTACATATTTAAACACAGCACACTGTATGAACATAAAATGCCAGACGACAAGGGCACAGAGGAACAGAAGACTTGGACTAGCTGGTGGAAAACATCTCTGGGGGGGTCCATGGACAACTGGTTGGCCTCCCCACCAGGCCACACTAGCTGCACTAATTCAATTAAAATGTCCAAATACCTGCAGGTAGGTGATGTTCATTTGGTCCACTTCTGGCCCAGTGTTATCTGCAGTTGTCCCTTGTCACTGGCTGTCATAGTGAGGTAAGGAATCACCGTCATCAAGTTTGAAGGCTCCAGGAGTCCCAGGGGAAGGTTGGGGGGAGGAGAAGGATCACTACACTGACAATGGAGCCATGGAGACAGAATGAAGCTGGGATATGACACGTATGGTGGCACCGGCTGCATCTTCTGCTGTGCACTTGGCTGGTCTGCCGTCCCAGGGGGGCAGCGGGGGAAACAGTCCTGGGCTCCGGTCCAGGTGGGAGAAGTTGTGTGTCATATGGGCTCAGCTGAAGTAATTATGTCCTGGGCCTGATGCTAGGCCAAAGCGGTGGCTAGTTGATTATGATTTAAAGCCTGAGACAGAGGAGGCGACTTGCGTCTCATAGGCCTGGGGGAAGCGGTCTCGCAGTGTGGAATGTGGCATGACGAGAAGGCCGAGTTTAATGAGCAGAGAGCGCGGCTTGGCACGTGAACATTCCGTAAAATATGGTGTGCAGCAATTTCGTTCTGAAATCCACCCTAAACCAGACTGGGAACCAGTGTAGGCCAATAAAAGCCGATGTAATGTGATCATATTTTTTTGTCCTAGTTATCCTTACTACAATGTTTTTTTATTCTTTGTAACTGGAGATATTTCAATTTAAATATAGTAAATGTGAAATGTGATCTACCTGAGTTAATAAATAATTGTCTACGTATTTACCTTTGTATATTAGGACTTTTGTTTCTTCTGAGTTCTGTTTTTATTAGGTGTTTATTTTTACGTGACGGTTACTAGGCTAAGTCGGTTGTTGATCTAATACCATTTGGTCTGTAGATTTCCCTCACAAGCTGTTAATACCTTGTTTACTATCCTAGCCTGGTTAAACTCGTGATGAACTGGCTACACTTATAATGGACTTACAGTAACACTTACAAAAGGCAACAGTGATTTTTTTTTTAAAGTTTGGTTGCTGTGTGGCTCTGCGAGTTAGAAGTTCGTGCTTGTGATAGGAAGTTTATCGGTTCCCTTAATTCTTACACACTCCTACAATAATTGTTACTATGAGAAAAGTCACCTGACATGTGCCTTTGGGGGTCAGTTGGACCCCAGGGGAGGCCTGAGAGATCCAGTCCTCTACGCCGCACGCATTCAGGTTCACAAAGGCAGGATGGTTCTTGGGAAGCTAAACGATGCAAATAATAATTGTCTGCTGGAAGATCTCAGTCCTGTGACCTGTCTCATGTGCTTTGCTGTGCAGGTAAAGAGGGGGATTTGGTGGTGAAGGTGTCAGAGGGCCTTGGAGGGCGGGGCCAGTGGTGGTTCCACCAGCAGGGGGCGCAGAATGAGCTGCTCCTCACAGTGCACACACCAGCTGACGCACCGGTGGGGCTCTACAGGATGACCGTTGTGCTGCTGGACGCTGATGGACACATTCAGGAGCGTATTCATGCCGGAACATTCTACCTGCTTTTCAACCCCTGGTGTAAAGGTCAGCATCTGCATTGCATGTTGGGACATGTGCAGCACACATTAACACGTATGTTTATACACTCAAAAATTCATTATCAGTCTGCATTTATTTTCATCTGGAACTTTAAGCAATTTACGTGCAAAGGGCCATGCTGATAAGATGTATGTAATATTTATTTCTAACATGTAAATTGATATCTGAATTTTGAGGATTTGTCTATATGCATCCCATAAAATTACATGAAAAAAATATGCAAATTGACTCATTTATACAAAGCTTGCCCGTAAATGCTCCGAAGCGTTTTCTTTGCCAATGTCACATCCATCATGCTGGAATTGCCCATAACTATATCAATTCACATTCATTAACATTGCAGTGCATGCTGGGAATGGGCTACAACTGACATAGTGTTTTTTTCTGGCTGTTTCATTCCTAGAGACAGTGTCACTCTGGGCATTTGCCCTTTCGCATTTAATAGGCCAGTAACAGCAGTATAGTGATTCTGGGAAGCCACCGTTCTGAAGATAGGGTTGTCTGGGAACACTTCCTGTTTGTGTCCAGTTAGCATCTCAGTGGGCTGCTTGTGTCTCCGTTCGCTCTTGCTCCGTCCCAGCTGATGCGGTGCACTTCCCTGATGAGGAGCAGTTGCAGGAGTACATACTGAATGAGAACGGTCTGCTGTACCAAGGCTCCTGGGACATGATCCGCTCCTTGCCCTGGAACTTTGGACAGGTACCACACCAGCACTCAGTATGAGACGCTTCTCACTCCAATGTTTTGTTTTGTGCTCGTTTTGAATAAATTAATTCTCACAAAAGGACCCCCAGTTAGGGTCTATAAGCTCATAAGACACATGTGAGACATCATAGATCAGATGCCAGTCCATCATTGGTCACTCAACTGGAAATTTACCAGTCTTCGGACTGTGGGAAATGTAAACAGTGGGGAAACACACAAACTCCACACAGAAGGCACCCTACAGCTCAAGCCATGACTCACGTTGGTGGTTCTATATATGGAGGTAAGAGGATTTTATATCACTCCCCCACAATGTAGTGACTGTTTGTGGCCACCAGGGGGCCCCAATCATGAGGGGCCCCGTGCAAATGTGTGATTTGAGTATCGGTAAACAGCCACAGCACTCAGTACAGGTCAGTTTATACAGAGCAACAAACAATGCTTACAACTGCAGATGTTAAATGCATCCAGGGCAAGGTCATCAAATAGGATGGGGGTGGAAGAGACAGCAGTGGGGGGGCGGCGTTGAGACAGTGAGAGCCTGGGCATGACAGAGGGGGACCTGGGAATCAGTCTGTCTTGTCAGATCCTGTGGCTGCATGGGAGGACTGGACCCAGCTGCTGGCTTAGTGGTTTTAAGGCATTTCTGCCAGATAGGTGCAAGATTGCCAAATGCAAACAAACAAGCCTGTTGCAGCCCTCCGTCCTGCCAACATTATCCGGGGGAGGGGTGCAGCAGAGCAGGAGGAGAGAAGGGATGGTTAAAGATGATGAGATGGCAAACAGGCCTGAAGACTGACATTCAGTTTGGCGGAATAGTTCTGCCAGGTCATGCCAGGCTGTGTTACCCGGCACACAGGGTCATGCCAGGCTGTGTTACCCGACACACAGGGTCATGCCAGCCTGTGTTACCCGGCACACAGGGTCATGCCAGCCTGTGTTACCTGACACACAAGGTCGGCAGAGTGATGTCACTCGACCCTCAACTGTGTGTCCCTTCTGATGAAAGCATCTGCTGAAAAAACATGAAATGTAAAGTGCCTGGCGGGGGGGGGCATTTCTCCCACTTTGTTTCTTTTTTGACAGTTTGAGAAGGACGTAGTGGACATCTGCTTTGAAATTCTGGACAACTCGCCGGCAGCGCTGAGAGACCCGGAGACGGACACGGCCAATCGGGGCGACCCGGTGTACGTGAGCAGGACTGTGACGGCCATGGTGAGGCCCCGCCTGCCTCCAGGGCCCCAGGACTTCAGAAACGGGTTATAAATCATCCACCACTGTCAAAAAGTCCACCACAGGAAACTGTACAGCAAGGCGTTACATGTGTCATTTACTTAAACAGTTCAGTGGAATGACACTGTGCTAAGTCTGATTGACACATATATAGATAGAAACACTATTAATTCCACGATAAATTAAGGAGATGTTACAGCAGTCAAAGCCGTTTATCATCAATTGAGCCTAAAGAATGTTACGACGATGTCGTTTAGATATTTCACAGCAATACGTCAGGAGGGGGGGTAATTAGATATATCCTAAGCTGTCAAACAAAACCTTGCCAAACTGGTTGTGCATGGAAATATAATACATCACACATATTTCTTTATGACAGCTGATTGTGACACTGCTTCTGTGACACGACACCCTGTCTGCCTGCCCAGGTGAACTCCAACGATGACCGGGGTGTGGTTTCGGGCCGCTGGGATGGGGAGTATTCGGATGGCGTGGCGCCCACACGCTGGACCGGCAGCGTGCCCATCCTGAGGCAGTGGAGCAGCAGCGGAGCGAGGAGAGTGCGATACGGCCAGTGCTGGGTCTTCTCAGGTGTGGCCTGCACAGGTGAGGCGGGGAAGGGGATGGTCTCCTACGGATGGGATCACTGGATGGGATCACTGGATGAGCCACAGATGTCGATCGCAGCCTTGAATTAGACACCCACATACTGCTGTGACCTCCATGCAGAATCCTTCTGCAGTCCAAACTGTCTAAGTTCCTCTTTTGTAAGGCCTGTGTCTTGCTTTCACTCATGTACAGCACTGTGCAAAAGTCTTAGGCAGTCAAAGAACATTTTTAAAGCTATTTATTTGGGTAGTAAGTGTACATTTTCTAAAAAAAAAAGTAACAAATAAAACTCTTGAATCCAATTAAACATTAGAACAGATACCAATTAACAATGACACAATGAAAACGAATGTTCTGAAAAAGTTACATGTATCTTGTTGGATGGCTAGATGAACACAATCCTCTCCTCAGGGGCACCTCAGTCATTCCATGTTTTTCTAAAATTCAACCCACTCTTACCCCGTTCCCCTGGTCCACAGTCCTGCGCTGCCTGGGCATCCCGACTCGCTGCATCACCAACTACTCCTCTGCCCACGATACAGACGGCAACCTCACAGTGGACTATTTCTACAATGATCACCTGGAGAGCATATCTGCCGGCAAGAAGGACATGATCTGGTGAGATCCTCAGTACTGCTCGCATGACTCTCAGCACCCAAGAAAAGTACTGTTCTGTTAGCACATGTCGTCACAGTCTGATAAAAACTACGGACATCCGCTTTTTGATTATTGTGACTCTTTATCAAAAATGGAATACACCCAATCTCCTCTGCCTACTGATAGAATTTGACATCTGATTGACTAATGAAAAAATGTTTTATGAAGTCATCTATTTAACTAGTAATTGTTTCCACTAGTTAACATTTGTATGGATTACTTTGTATTACAACATTGATAGGTAGATAACTAGATAGATAGGTAGATAACTAACATCATTGTTTGTATCTTGTATCTAGTTGACATTGGCATATTTGCCTGACTGGCAACAATCCATGTAAGTCCATTAAAAACATCAAGCCGTTCACTGACGGCTGAGTAAAGACAGGTTTCTATTTGTGGTGCTAAGGTTGTCTCATTATCTTGTTTTAGGTTCAGTTTCTGAAAAAATGCTTTTTTTCACATTCCCAGAATTTGGATTTTTGGAGATCTGTGTTTTTCATTGGACAGCGATGATGTGCTTCTTTACAGGAACTTCCACTGCTGGGTGGAGTCATGGATGACCCGGGAAGACCTGTCCAAGGACTACGATGGATGGCAGGTCCTGGACCCTACACCCCAGGAGAGGAGTGAGGGTAAGGCCTAGATCTATCAACACGGACCATGTGTAAGCAGTTTTACCTACACCTCTGGATCTGACCACTAGACATTTGTTCTTGTTGGTATTTGTGGCAAATTTAGATAAAAACAAAGTAAGCATTTCTTGATGCAAAGAGGTATTCTAGTCAGCACTAGATTACAGAGTTTCGTTGTACAATGACAATGAAGATATTCTATTCTATTCTATTTATGACATTTACTTAGATTCCAAATGAGCAAAATGGTGATCTGTAATGTTTTTATGTTCTCTTCCTTTGTACCTCCCCCCCCCCCCCACTGGATGTCCTCCTGTACCCCTGCCTTAGGTGTGTTCTGCTGCGGTCCCTCTCCAGTGAAAGCCATAAAGGAGGGTGAGGTGGGTGTCAAGTATGACACAGCCTTCGTCTTCTCCGAGGTCAACGCCGACCTGGCCTGCTGGATGGTGGAGCCGGACGGACAGCGAACCCCGGCTTCCCTGAACCACGCCACAGTGGGCCGTAACATCAGCACCAAGAGCGTGTATGGCGACGAGAGAGAGGACGTCACCTCCCTCTACAAATACCCGGAGGGTGAGCTGTGATGTCACAAGACCACAGGGTGTCAATCATAGTAAAGTCTGAAAACTACAGTTATATGAATCGGAATCTGTAACATTGTCATTCTCATTGTGCCCTTTAGTTTGTTTTTACACTAGTGGCCAAAATTCCATTTTTTAGAGACTGCAGAACTTTATTCAACTGTTACTCCAATTGCTATTTAATTGTCCAGTGTTGGATATTTGTGAACATTCTTTGATTGTTTATAAACATTACCGCCAAAAATGCTACGTGTTTCCACAGTTGTGGTCATTAGTCAACATGAAGGGTCTCCGCATAAAATGAAATGTTGCTGATGTATGATGCGTCATGCTGATGTGATTATGGTAACCAGCCCCACTGTCAACGAAATTCAAACCAGGCTCGAAGAAGGAGAGGGAGATGTTTGAGAAAGCGGGCCGGAGGGTGTCTCAGCGGGGTGCAGGAGGAGGCCAGCTGGAGCTGGCCATCAGGCACGCGTCGGCGGTGCACGGCACGGACTTCGACGTCATCGTGGAGGTGCGGAACACCGGCGGGGAAGACGTGTCGGCCAAACTCACCATCACCTCCAACGGCGTCACTTATAACAGCCTCCACCGGGGGGAGTGCCAGAGGCAGAGCGCCAGTGTCACCGTGCCGGCACTAAGGGGTGAGTGGGGGGGGGGGCACCAGACTCGCCCATGAGGGCACTACCAGCCCATTCAGCTTTGGAAAGGTACAACACCACAGTGTGAAAGACAGCTAATGCAGACCACAAAACAAGTAACATCCTGAATGCTCTCATGATACAATAAATCACATCACATGTTCTTTCACAGTCTCCAAATATGTGATTGTGGAAAAGTGTGCTTGTATTTTTCTTTTTGATGTTCCATCTGCATCCCACTTTTTCATCCCTCGTTCCGTCACATTTTTCGTAAATTTGTACTGGAAATTTTTCAGATTGCTCGCACAGATATCTAGTGTGCAGCTCAAAAGTATTCAACCAACTTTCATTCATTTCACCCTCCTTCATCCCTTCTTGTCCATCCCTCTATTTCCTCACATTGACTTCAGTTCATTTTGGCACCTATCATCACCTAGTTTTTCACCTAGAAACTCCGTTCTACCTCTCAAATGTTCCACCCATTAAGGGTGATATTGATATTCAACTTGTATCCCTCTTTTCATCCCTCTTTCCAGAAAGCCAAACCTTTCTTTCATAGGCTGAATGTTAGCACCCAAATAATTGCACAGGACATGGTGTGCAATTATTTGTGGCCTACTGATGCTGCTGAGACAATCACATTGGCATTTTGTTGCGGAACTGCATCTCTAATTGCTCAAATAATTGTGCAGACTGAAAGAGCTGTTCCTTCGTAACCCTAACCCTGCCAGTTAACTCTGCATTTTATAGAACAGTAGTTCTCAAATGTTTTGTATCAATCCAAAGTAGCCAAGTATCACTTGGGTGGGAAAAAAATGACTGTACCAAATTATTGCGGCCTTGTCATGTATTGATATCTCGATTTTTCGCCGAAACCTGTTATATTGTGCATCTCTACCTCGAGCAGCGCACAAGGAGGTGCTGCGGCTGCGATATGCCCACTACGCGTCCTGCGTCTCCGAGCACCACTTGATCCGGGTCACGGCTCTGCTGCAGACTGACGGAGAGAGAAACGTCGTCCTGCACGAGGTCAACATCCCACTGAGTTTGCCGGAGCTCCACGTCAAGGTAGGGAGCCACACATGCTGACGGCGGCCGTCCGTGAGAGGCACGCAGGCGCATTCCAGAGCCGCCGCTTTGCCTAGGAGTATGTGGTAAGGTGGCATGAGTATGGAATGCTCCTCATGCTCTTCATGCTCTTCATGCTCTTCATGCTCTTCATGCTCTTCATTTACCAGGGGGGCGGGAATGAAAATGCTATGTGAACATATTAAAGTATTGAAAAGTTATATATTGAAAATGTGGCTTGTGTTCGTTACATCAATCTGTAATAATAATTTATTGAAAATGTATCTGCACTTAATTTTTTTTTTACAAATTTATTTATCTGAATCAATGGTGGTTGGGCTCTCTCACCTTGCACCCCTTGGGAGGAAAACCTAGAGTCACTTATGCTATCCATCCATCCATCCATCCATCCATCCATCCATCCATCCGCCTTCAAACCCCTTCATAGGGTTGGAGGATGTTGTAGGAGGGCCTGGAGCCTATCCCAGTCAGCATATGGGAACAAGCTCACTGTGGGTGGGATCCCAGTCTGCACTCAGCTTCATCGTATCGCATTTGTTGTTGAAAAAATGAGATGTTTGATATTTGATTCAAACTAAACATTTCCATAGAAATTTGGCATAAATATTTTAGCCAGTGTTTTGAAGTTGATACTGGCTCAACCATCTTATGTTGGGAAGTGAAGCTATTCTGCTTCCACCCAGATCCTGCAGGTGTTTGATGAAGCTGTTAATACTGACTCTACCATTTGCTCTGGTGATGTTTTTTAATGCGGTTTGTTAATGTTGACCTCACTCTCTGCGCTTCTGCTCCAGGTGCTGGGGGAGGCTGTGGTGTCGCGCAAACTGATCGCCCGCGTTACCTTCGGCAATCCGCTGCCTGTCACATTGAAAGGGGGCGTGTTCACGCTGGAGGGGGCGGGACTCACCCCTGCCAGGGAAATCCCAGCCCTGTATGTATTTGCACGTAGACCCGCAGACACGTGTGTGACATGTCTTGGCCGTCACTGCGACAGCTATGTGCGAACATTGACGTTTACTAAGAGGCTTCTGGGGAGAAATTCTCTTAATTTCGAATCTCCTCTATCCGCTCAACTTGCCTGATAGCTTAGTGCCTCAGACTGAGAATGATGAGTGTATGAACGTGTCAGAGGGCAATGTCTTGCATGGTTCCGTTCCAGCCTAGCTGACCACAGGCCTTGAACTGACATCTGCTGGTCCTTCATGGCCTTGTGGTCAGTAAGCTGACCAAACCTTTCCAGGAACGCAGGAGAGAAAGTGCAGCATGTCCCGTTATTTGCCCCACCCTTTTTGCAATTACAAACCTCTCCTGGCGATAACAGTCTTTCCTCTCTTCCTCTTTCCCGTCTTGATGTAAACGCTGCTGCTTTGCCCAAACCGCACGTGACACATGATTTTTTTTTCATATTTCAGCAAAGGTCTGACCTCAGATGAAAAGCGAAAGCTAAGATGTCTGTAAAAATCGATGCCATTTGGCCAGATGGAAAAGAGCCTGCTTTTTATGTGGCAGCTGGAAGCAATTTAGTATTTTAATTAGAATTGCGCAAGAAATATAAACGTGGTTATAAGTCAATGTGATTTTTCACTCTAAAATTAATATATGAACAATATGAGCATGGTATCCAGTATAGTGAATATAAAATAAACGGTGCAGCGGTAACCAGTAAGACTGCATCCCATTTTCTGTATTTAAAAAGTTATTTGTTGATGCAAAAATAATGGTAAGAATTGTATAAAGCACAGCTAAGGTTCACTTTCTTTTGATTAACCTGTTTATGGTCTGTTTGTATAAATGTCAGCCTTCATCTCTGATAAATCTACTGGACTCAGTCCCGAAAGTGCGTCATCAGAACTGAGAGGTTAAACCCCTCCAGTCATTGCAGTCGGTTGACTGATGTTCTTTTACAGAGGGGATATTGGACCAGGTGAGGAAGTCACTATCAAGTTCTCCTTCAAACCCACCCGGCCAGGCTTACGGAAGCTGCTGGTGGATTTCGACGCAGACAGGCTGAAGGATGTCAAGGGGGTCGCCACGGTGATCGTGCGGGGCAAGTGAGACTGGCATATTGGGGGGGGGCAATATGTCTAGCAGCATCCGTGCAGACAGCAACAGACATCATCTTGTGCAATGTGACGTCCCAGACCAAACTTCCTCCTTGTTTGGAGAAAAGCGACCGTCAGCAGATTCACACTGGGCTCTTAAAGGGCTACTTCAGCTGACACCCTGTTACTTAGGGGGTGGCCCTCCTGATGCTGTGCTTCTGAGAACCTCATATTCAGGTAAACTGAATGAGGACTGTATAACTGAACGAATTATGTTCATCTAATCCCGGTCATTCTGTCTGTTAATGCTGTAATATTTGGTGGATTACATATGAAAATAAAACGTGTCAAAATGATTTACTTTGACTGGCCATTCTAAATGTAAAGATTATTAAGGGGGTGTGGCTCCGTGGGTGAGGCCTCTCTGCCTGGGATCAGACGGTCGCTCATCGCCACGTCTGCTGCTCCGGGCCCTTGGAAAAACCCCTGAAAAATGCCTCTGAGGCACTGGATGGATGGAATGACCCTGCGCGCTGACCCCAAGCAAGACAGCAAGATGGGATGCGTGAAAAGACTCATTGCAATGTACCTGTTCTCATGCTTGTACAAATGGCAGAAATTTTATTTGCCATCCAATGTCTAACCTGCGTAGACTGTCGGTAAACCTGAGTGACATTCACTGGCTGTTTATTGCAGAGCACTGAGTTATTTATTCACCTTCTGAAAATCACCGTAATTTCCACAGCCCCTGCCGAGCTGGTTAAATGGGGTCAAGGGCCCCACCAGCAGCTGTCCTGGATCATCACCCAGCCCTGATCTACTAGGGGGAAATGGGCACACTAGTGTAAATTAAGTTGTCCACAAATGTGTAATTAATTCAGTTGTAAAGTTGTAAAGATGAAGATGCTTAACCTCAACTGCTCCAGGTGTGCTGAATACTAAGCTCTGACGAGAAGTTTCCCTCACTTGTATGTTGTTTGTATGTTGTTTTAAATATGTATATGGAATTACAGAACAAATACCAGTATCTAGATTGTGGTGGAACCGCTAGTGTGTGCCCAAAAAAAACAACTGGGGTCAGGATGATTATTTTATGACAACATATTATTACATAACATACTGGAATTGCACTTGCTTAAGTACACTTAAGGTTACCAGAACATCACAACACAGCCGCATTCCATTACCAGCAACCTGCGAGCGACTGAATTGAATCTTTCGCTTTTTCATTGCATCAGCCGCTCAGCACCGGCTGCGCACAACACTTCCAGGCTAGGGAGATCGACAGCCCTACCAACCAATCGAACGCCGTGTTTTACCAACCCGCCTACTGTAGCAGCCAATGAGATTTGTCGCTCGGCAGACATACTTCTACCGCCGCCGTGCTCTCCCGCGTGCATTGGTTTTGTAGTGTCTGTATTGTGTGCGAAACAAGAAGATATACTGAGTGAGTACTGTAAAAATGATATCATAATTAAATATTAAGTTATAGGGGAGTTGTTTGCTATAAAATATTTAAAATATATAATTTGTTCTTTAGATAAAAAGCCTAAATCCAAGCTGTCGGTTTCGCTTCAGGGTCAATTCGGTTCAATAAAGCGTAATTGATTAAAACCCAGAATAAAGGTTTCGCAGTTTTAATACCTAAGTAACGGCTAAAGTTAGCTTTAAAACATAGCCTAATGAATCTTGTTCCATTTAAATTGCGTCATTCTTTATAATAGCTAACCACAGCAGTATATGGCGCTAGCATGCTGTAGGTGCATATTGTAAATTTGACACCTTTCAGGTACCCGGTTTAGGCAAACGCCAGCTAAACCGAGTTAGTCCTGTAACAGGACACAGGACAAATGCCCGGTTGTCTTATCATTCATTCGTGTCACATGTGTGTAAAACCCGATGGCTCCAAATGTTAACCGATATGTAGGAACAGATGCATCAGCATCACAAGGCCTTGCTAACTTTTTGAATAAAGCACGACAAATCTCAGTATTATAGTTATGATCGCAGTAATATTATGATTGTTTCTGGATGATTATTGGATGATTTTAGTCATTAGATTTTAGTTTTTTTTTTGGTACCCTGCAGTACATTAACTGTGCTGTAAACTCTCTTACAAATAGCTCCCCTTTGTTGATTGCTTGTGAATTGAATTATGTTCCACGATCAGTAAATTGAGGATCTGACGTCTGATATCATGCTGTTTCCTTGGACCTGGAGAAAAACATTAAAATCGGCAGCGATACCATGAATATAGGAATATGTGTATAACCCACCTTATCCTGTAATTTCCAAACTCTTCTGGCAGTGCAGATTAATCTGTATCTGTCTTTGTTTTTATTGTGGTTGTCAGGACTGAGTGTTGGGCCGTTGCCTATGGTTTATGTCCCAGCACACAGTTTGTAGTAGCTGGGAGGCTCCCTAGGTAATCCTTATATTTATCTAAAGTGGTGTTTCCCAACCCAGTCATTGGGGAAACCCGGACACTCCACATTTTTGCTCGCTCCTAGCTAATCAGGAACACCAAATACCTGGTACAGGTGCGCTGGGAGCTGAGATGAAGCAAAAACATGGACTGTCTGGGGTTCCTCGTGGACTGGGTTGGGAGACATTGATCTAAAGGGCTCAAGATCACATGTAAACCAGCCTGCTCCCTTTAATAGGGCACTTCATGCTAGCATTCAGGGTATTTGTATGAATGTACTAGGTTAGCCCGCTGTTGTTAGTGGCCGTAACAAGACATTGAATAAATCTAAGCCAGGGGTGGCCAATCTTATCCGCAAAGGGCCGGTGTGTATGCGGGTTTTCGCTGCAACTCCCTAATTAGATTACTAATTAGAGGACTGATTGGCTGAAGAGTCCTCACTCCTGGGTTTGAACAGCTGACCTACAGGTTATCCCAAAAATTAGAATTTTAGAATTTAGTGATCATTGTCAACACACCACAGCACACAGTGCGCAACAACGAAATGTGACCTCTGCATTTGACCCATATGTGACTTTTCGTGAC